AATCGAACCCTAGCCAGAACCACCAACACAAGAACCCCTCCCCTCGCGAGGCAGTTCTTTCCTTGTATTGTTCATCATCAGCCCCTGAGGCAATCCACCACACCACAAACTAGAGTAGGGTATTACACCACAATGGTGGCCCGAACTAGTATAAACCTCGTGTCCCTTGTTTTGTTCTTCGTGTAGTTTAGATCCTTGCGAGGCAACGAGACGTGAGTAGGTAGGAGGTGAGATCTCTGCACGCACCCCAGAGTTCGAACCTTGAGGGTCTGCCGGAACCCGAAATCTGACAGATTGGGTTTACTTTGTCTACATCATGTCATCTTGCTTAAGGCGTTACTCCATTTCTCATGAACTTAATACTCTAGATGCATCCTAGATAGCGGGTCGATGGGTGGAGTAATAGTAGTAGGTGCAGGCAGGAGTCGGTCTATGTGTCTCTGCCATGATGCCTATATACATGATCATTGCCTTGAATATCGTCGTAACTATGCGCTTTTCTGTCAGTTTCCCAACAGTAATTTGTTTACCCACTGTATGCTTTTTGTTCAAGAGAGAAGCCTCTAGTGAAAACTATGGCCCCTGGATCTACTTTTATCATATATAAAATCCAAAAATATCTTGCTGCAATTTATTTACCATTATTTTGTGTGTTTTGTTTTATCTGTCTATCGCTATCAGATTTGATCCTTGCAAATAACCACCAAGGGGATTGACAACCCCCTTGATCGCGTTGGGTGCAAGTATTTGCTCTTTTGTGTGTAGGTGTTGTTAACAAGGTTTCGTGTGGTTCTCCTACAGGATTGGTAACCTTGGTTCTTAACTAAGGGAAATACTTATCTCTATTGTACTATATCATCCTCTCCTCTTCGAGGAAATCCCAACGCAACTCACAAGTAGTAGGGTGCACCATCTGGTCATGTGAGGCCCACCTGCACTGCCTTATGTCGATTCGACCGCCATAAATTCCTATAAATATTGACCCCCCCCCCCGCCATATCTTCAGAAGAATTTTATCGCCGCCGCAAGCTCCCGTTTTACTAAGATCCCATCTGGAGACCTGTTTTGGAGCTTTTCCAGAGGGGGCGCCATTGCTCGAGCCATCTTCATCAACCTTGTTGCCTCCATTATGCTGAGTGTAGTTCATTTAATACCTTAGGGTCCATAGTGGTAGCCAAATGGCTCTCTCTCTCTTTTTGGATCTTCAATACCTTGTTCTCGCGAGCCTTCTCACATGATCGGTATCAATTCGATGTAATCGGTGGTGTGTTTGTTTGGACCTGACAAATTTTCACTTTATGATAAGATTGTTCATTAAAATCAATTGAATCTTTTGAGGTCTTCTTGTTGTGTAATTAAATAGCTTTGCATGCTCTCCGATCTATCTATCTTCTTTGGCCAAGTTCGATGGGTTTTTCTTCAAAGAGAGTAGTGCTTTGTAGTGGGTTCAATATTGTCGTGATTTAACCCATTGACAATAATGGCCAAGACACATATTATACTGTTGCCACTAAGGATAAAACGACTGGGTGTTGTGATATTGATTGACTTCTTCCCATCTAGATTATGTCATCTTGCTTACTGTGATACTCCGTGTATTGCAAACTTAATACCTTGAGATGCATGCTAGATAACAGTTTTGGGGTGGAGTATAGCAGTAGATGCGGTTGAATTAACTGTCTACTTATCACAGACGTAATGCCTATATGAAATTATGCCATGAATGATCATAGTCATAAATATTGCGGTCTGGTCAATTGCCCAACTGTAATTTGTTTACCATGCCATTCGCTTGTTTTGAGAGAGATACCACTAGTAAACCTATGGCCCCATGGGTCTATTCTCTATTAGTGAATTCTTCTACACGATTTCTCCTTTTATTTGTTGTGCTACTTTGCTACTATCTATCTCTATCATTTGCTTTTAATCTTGTAACTAGCAAGACAAGGGGATTGACACCCCACTTGATGTGTTGTTACAAGTGTGTGTGTGTGTGTGTGTGTGTGTGCGCGCGTGTGTGTGTGTTTTGTGCGCAGGTGTTGCTCATGTTGCTAGCTTGGGTGACTCCCTATTGGATTGATAACTTTGGTTCTCTAACCGAGGGAAATACTGGCTACCGTTCTGCTTCACCCTTCATTGATGTGTCAAGGAGAGGAGAATACCACACTGGTAGAGGGTGGGAGAAAAGCTAGCGACTCATACTTCCATAGTTCTATGCGTCACTGAGGAACACGCCCCGCCGCCATAGGTCACAAGAGAGACCTAGGGATAGGTTTCTTTCGTAAAGAGCCATCCTTTCTGTGAGAAAATCTCGAAAATAGATAGATTTTAGGCAAGTAAAAAACACGTAAAAACCAGAATGAGAGGAGGTGAAGGAATCAGTGAGATCGATGGGAGAGGCACATACGTGGGAGAGGAGATCGAACAAAACAACTATGCATTCCCCTTTAATAGTAGAGATGTGCGCCATCCATGCTCAAGCTATTGGTATGGTCTTGTTATTTATATTTCATTTACTTGCTATTGTTGTTCGGAAAACGCTTGGCTTCAGCTGGCGGATCGCCCGCGGGCATTCATCGTCTCGTCTGTGCAACGCGCATTCTATGTAGGGCCCACTTAGCACTAGATATAATGATTGGTTCCTTCATTTTCCTCTTCCACCTCTCTCTTCTATCCGACTAATGGATAAGGAGGCAACCCGCCCATCACTATCTCTATAATGAGTGGTTCCTTCCTTCCCTTTTCGATCTCTCTCTCACACACACAAATGGATAAGACCATGGGCAATGAGGTAGCAGGTGACCTGGGAATCAATGTCGTTGCAGCCGGGTCGGGCATGGGCACCATCGCCGGCCTCCACGACGAACGTCACCGCCACAAGGCTATTGGCCACCACGGTGTGCCCGAGGTCGGCGCACGACCGCTGCCGACCTCCTCCATGCGTCATGACCATCACCGTTCGTCTCTCTATTGCAATTGCAACGATGAAATTGCAAACAGCGACGGTGCTGCTGCGACATCATCTTTCATTGCAAAATAGAAAATCTGCAACAACATCCATGTTGCAAAAGCCCTTCCACAACATTATCTATGTTGCAAAAAAGACGGAAAAAACCTACAACACAATCTCTGTTGCAAATGTTTTCGAAATACCAGGTTTGTTGCAATGATGAAGAGGGTGTTGTGCTGCCGGATGACACCAAATCTAACGTGTGCAGAGGTGGTGGGTCTTTTAAAAAATCCGCCGACCGATGCGCAACACGCCCCTTATCGTTCCAACTTAGTATTACATTTTTGACCGCTCCTATTATTATGTTTTTTATTTAGCCAAGAGATATTTAGAATTTATTTTAACTGGAAGAGTTTTTTAAAAGAAAATACTTTAGTCACTTTATTAAATTAAAGAATTGTTACATCGTCCATCAGCCACTTTACAATCGGTACCGGTGGTTCCTTTAGCCACTTTGCAAGTGGCGTCCAGACTGATAGCCTAGCTAACTCATGATTCGTCTCGCTAGAGCAATGGGTGAAAGAGACCGAAGTACTACCTTCACCCTGGTTTATTGCTTCCCTTAGTATTTTGTGCCAAATTTTAACAATTGATTTAATTAACAAAATATTAATGCATGTCACAAAAAAATAGTTTCAATGGTATAATTTTTTATGATGCATTACCATTTCTTTAGTTAAATCTATGATCAAATTTTGATGCAAAATACGAAGAAGACCAATAAACCAGGAGGAAGGTAGTATCAATCAATTAATCTATCTATCTACACCACCTAAAAAAGACATAACGTTCCCATTTCGTTCAACCTTCGTGCGCCTCCATCCCATGCTTAGCACATCAAAAAAAATTAGGGGAAAACCGGTCCGCTACAACCCATTCACGCACGCCTCCCCAATATTCCCTCTACACACTGGGTTTATTTCTTGAAGGTTAATCAAGTCTTTATTTTCTAGACAAAGAGAGGTACTCCCTTCGTTCGGAATTACTTGTCTTGGAAATGGATGTATCTAGAACTAAAATACATCTAGATACATCCATTTCCGAGACAAGTAATTCCGAACGGAGGGAGTAGATGGGTTGGTGAAAGAGGAGAAATTACTTAACGGTAAATCAACTCAATAATACCACCTAATGTACATGAATATTGTAAAGAAGTATGTAAAGTATGCTCTAGTTGCAATGCATGGGCAATTAGCTAGTAATAATAAAATAAAATATCCATGGGGTTCTTGGTTGGACTGGAAAGAAATTGGAGGGAGCGCAAATTGCGTTGCAACTAGTAGTTAGAGGGTGCTTGGATACGTTTTAGTCTCATGACTAAAAGTAGTGGGACTAAAACTTGCTAGCCTCACCCATGCTTGGATACAAATACTAAATAGACTAAAATCGAGTTAATGAGCATTTATTATCCTCCAAACCCTCCAATCCAGAACTCGCATGTGTTAAAGGAGGGGAGTTAAATGAGGAGAGAGAGGACTAATCCACATTTTAGTAGGGTTCCCTGACTAAATTTTTTTAGTTTCAAGACTAGTTCTAGTCTCTCTTTAGTCAGGAGTGATTGGAACTTTAGCCTCTAAAAAAACTAGTTTTAATCAGACTAAAAATAGTCCCTTGGATCCAAGCATGCCTAAGTATCAGTTCAGCGAATTCCCAGTTCAGACTGGAGACCAAGCCTCAATCATCCCGGATTGTCTCTACCGACGTACTTAGCCGTTAACCTCCCGACGAAAAGCCCCCAAACCCAATTTGAATTTCAGATCCTGACATTGCTATGCGATCCGAATAGGCCTCCACGGCACCCACGCCGCCGTCTCCCTCCTGCCCCCCGACGCAGCCCACGCGGCGGCGCCGCCACAACCCCACCCATTGTCCACTCGACGGGCCAGGATTCCAAGTGCTCACTCGCGTCGAAACCCCAAGCCTAATCCCCAATCCGGCAATTCCCCCTCCACCTCAAAGCTCTCCCCTTACCTCACCTAAATCCTGGCAGATGGCTCCGGCGATGCCGAAGCAGCGCGCGGTGCATCTCCCCGACAACGAGGAGGTTGCGCGCCTCCTCCTGGAGAAGCACCGGTCGATGCTGGAAAAAGACATCCCAGACAACCTGAGCCTCACGCTCTCCAACGCCTACCGCAACGTCTGCGCCGCCAAGGAGCCCATCCGGACCCTCAAGGACCTGCTAAAGATCAAGTATCCATCTTTCCATTCCTCTCCGCTGTTTGTTCGGTTTTCGTTCTTGGGGGTAAAGTCGCATTAAAGCTAGGGTTTGACCGACTGCGGTTTGTCGCTTTGGTTTGTGTAGTAATGTCTCGCACTTTTGTTCCATATAAGTAGACGGAAAATCAGGTTTTTTTTCGAATGCTTTAAGACGAATGGACCGGTTTGTGATGTTGGCGTGCAGATAATTTGTTGTGTTAACATCAAAATTTTGATTTTGGTTTGATGAAAACTATTTAAGTACAGAGATCTGAGCTGTGGTGAACCGATCCCATCATCCATGAGCCCACGATAACATCAATTTTAGTTTGCATATTTCAGTTCATTCTGCGGCAAGGCATAAGTCTGTTGCAATGTGTGTGGCGAAACTGATTGTATAACCAGAGCAAACCAGCAATGCCCATTACTCTGCGCACTGTCTGTCTATCTCCTGCAGAGTAGCTCTCCTGAATCTAAGATATTCTCCACTGGGTGTTAGGTCATGGGTAGAGATACTTTGGATGCGACTTAGCTAGATAAGTTAATGGATCGGGTTCTGGGTTGCAACTCAAAATTGTATTTACTTTTAAGTTGCACTATCAGATAAGTGCTGTAACAGTATGGATCTTCACTAGTTTGGGTTCATCTGGATACTTTGCACTTTATTTCGTGAGTTGAATTGGGAGATGGACATGCCAGAACTTTTCCCTATGACGTGTCTGTTTGTGCTTGGATCGCAGAAAATTGTTCATTAATTTCGCACTATTTTAATTAGTTCAATCTTAGCCATTGCTTCTTATAGATGCTATTTTTTCTTCCTTGTAGTGAGTTAATTTTTGTAGGAAAGGTAATGTCATTTGGTTCCTCTGATTCCACTATGCTGCACTGAAACTATACATTTATTTTGTCTCTTTTATAACTTACCACTGCAATAAAGTAGCATTGCATCTTATAAGGTATTAATGTATTGATGTTCTCTTATTATTGTCAGGGGTGTTGGACCATGGGTCATCCGTCTCATAAAAGAGTCCTTTCCAGCGTCCAGCCCAGATTTATCTCCTCCAAAATGTAAAGAGAAAGGGAAAAGGGGTAACTTTTTTCATGCTTGATCTTTTAACACCCATATTTTGGCGTAGGGATGTCCAAAAGATTTTGTCTGTTGAATCTTACACATCACTGTTCATTTCTGCAGGGAAGAAAATAAAAAGACCAGAGCATAGTCCTGAACTTGTTTGCAGCAATTCTGCTTCTATGGCATCCCAAGAACTGATACAGTTGACCAGTCAAGAGCAGCTCAGTTACAGTTCTGAAGTTCAAACTACCGTACGTCTACCTTCGACCAACATTGTTTTTACAGTTTTCATGTTTCTTCCTTCCATGCCTAAAATATTATTGAAGATATTAAATGACAGTTTTTTTCTAAATGGTTAGCTACGAAGATGAATGCAATCATATGCTTTTATTGTCATATTCTCCTGGTGAAGTTTTTGAGTTTTATAGTCTTCAAACTTACTAATTCACTTTCCCATCTGTTCAATCTTACTAATTCACTTTCCCGTCTCATTGTACCACATAAAACTAAGAGTTTAATATTTAGTACGGAGCAAGGCTTTACTAACATGGTGTGTGTTGTGCAAAATTTGAAATGTTTTTTCTTTGCGAGGAGATGTTTGATATAGCATCTATCACTTACATACCCCAACCAGATTTTGCAGCCTCACCAATCACCATATTGCTAACGTTTAATAATGTGACACAATATAGAGAAGAAGTTAGTTTCAATTCAGTAGATTAGTGCTATTCTTTCTCCAACAAAATTTGAGCTGCAATCTTCCAGTACAATGGTACAATGGTATCCTTGTTTATTTTCAAATAGAACTTAATGCTATTATTTCTTTTCCGCTACCAGGGTTCTGCTGAATTCACTATGCTAGACAAGGACACTAGTGGTATGGGCAATTCTATACTAGCTATGCCACCTCGTCTATCTAATGAAAAGTTTCTTGAAGCTTATGAAGTGGTGTTGATATTGGATGATCGTGAAATTTTTGGGTTCGTAAGATTATATCTTACTCAAGAATTAATCTATCTTGTGTTACAGATATATCTGATCTTTAAGTGGGATTATAAGCTTGTCTTACTGTATGTGTAATACTCAAAACTGTATGGCCTCTGCTGCACATTCTCCAAACTTGTTCAAACCAGTACAACATTGGAGGTTACTTAACACAATGAATGTTGCTACCTTGATGCAAGTTTCAAAGTTTTGAACAATGTGATTGGCCCCTGGTCTTTTTGGGGTGATAATTTGAGCGTTTGTAGCATATGTCTTTGTTCTCTCTTTACTTATGAGTTGGAAGATGAGCTATGTCATTCTGTTGCTTAGAATTTTTTTCTGTTAAAACAAGATAATGGTTGCCATTTGCTTAATGTTGTTCTTTTCCTGAATTTGAAGACAATTTGACTACATAGTATCTTCTGTGAATTTGAATTAAACCCTTTTCTGTTAATGTTTGTTTCATTTAGTTTCTATCCTTTATGTTCTATGCGCCATATTTCAGATACATATTCAGTTTTTAATTCAAGAAAGTAAGTCGATTATGGTTGCCCTCTGCCGTTTTATAGAAATATCAAACCACCAAAATGAATTGAACTGAGCCTTTTCTCTGGAAGTAGTTTCATTTTTGTTCCAGGACTACATAGTGACTTCCTTAATTTCCATGAATAGTTATAAGCCACTATGTTGGTTGGCTCACATGTAGTTGCGTGTCTGATTTTGCATACATTGCCATTTGCTTGAAGCTTACCCCCCGCCACACCTGCTGCACAAGAGTTTCATGTTATTCGGTCTTTCTTTTAATTGTATATCAGAATTTTGTTCTCATGATTGTTACATTTTTGTGCAGATCCCGTGGCAAAAGAGTTGTTGGTAACATACATTCGAAGTTTCATGTACCTGTAGAGGTTGGTCAGATTCAGACTTGTGTGGGCGTGCCTTACTAATAACAGTCTTCATGTTCCTAATACTAAGTTCATTTGTTCTAGTTTGGGCATTATCTTTGTCTCTTTTTACACATGTCAGATCACTAAACGTCGCTGCTAAATATGATTGGCACTGAATCAGCATGTCCTTAAAGTCTAAACTGAATCCATGATGATTTGATGAGACATATTACATTATGCTGCCCTGTCAATTAGAGAACTCTAGAAAAGAAATGTTAGGGTACCTCTTTTGTTATGTGAGCACGAACGGGGCATCTGATTTCTTCTGCTAGCCCACAGCTAATGCAAAAATGCTGCTTGGATGGGTGTCTCTTATGTTAAATTTGAATTGCATGTAAAGTACCATGAACACAGGGTTGGCAGAATCAATGATTCAAACATATCATCACTTGAGCAGATGCATGTGTCAAGTCTATGCCCAAACACAGGGTTAGCATGTAAAGTACTAAGAACATAGGGTGACGAATCTGTTTGAATCAGGGTTAGCATGTAAAGTACTATGAACACAGGGTTGGAAACTCGTGTCAAGTCTCAAGAGGGCATTTTGCAGACTATGCACAAAATGTCATTTCTGTTGTGAGGAGAGGGAATATCTGATATTTTCTCATACTGCTAGATTGCTTGGCTGATATATGTAGTATCTTGCCCCACTGTCCTGATACTTGCTTCCCAGTCTTTATTTGCATGTGTTCAGTGGAATGGCACATATGGCATTATTGCCTCGTATCAAATTGGACACAATCTGCCAACCTGTCAGATTCTGCTTATATACTTTAAACATTCAATATATGCTGGGTAATAGTATAAATGTACTACTGTAACAAATTTAGCATAAAATGTTCATGAGACGTGGATCTTGTCTTCATTTCAAGCGAACTAAAAATGATGACTGAAGATTTTATGCATGGATTGAACTGTTCATGTTATCTGTGCCAGAGAGTGGTGTTGATGAATCTGTTTGAATCATGTCATCCAGATAAAACGCCTGCCTGTTGGAGATGGTATTTGGATTGCTCGTCATAGAAGATCTCATACGGAGTATGTTCTTGATTTCGTTGTTGAAAGGAAAAGTGTAACAGATTTAGTTAGCTCAATTAGAGACAGCAGGTACAAAGATCAGAAATTAAGGCTAAAGGTACCATCTGAACTAGTATTAACTATTGTCATTATTATAATCTCATGTTAACTTCCCCTGTTCTTATAGTTCCAATTAGTGTCTTAAGACACTAGTTTGTTCTTGTGTAATCCCAGTCAACAATTGTAGCAACCTAAAACATTGTTTTGTCCATGAGCCAGTGACCAGGTCAAAATTTGATGTTTAAATCATTAGTTTGTCAGGCAGCATAGTTGTGGAGGCTTCTATAATGCTACAGATGGTTGAACGTAACTTGCAGTGGATGTTGAAGTACCAGCGTTGTCTAAACTATGTTTGTTTGATATGCTCTGTATTTCTATCCTGCAGTTTACATCGTTAAGAAATGCTGAATAGGACGAGTGTTTCACTTCAAGAAGTTGTGTCGTTGGCCTGTCTTGTGTGTCCAGTTGTCCACATGCTTTGCCCATAGTGACCAGATGTTTGCGTTTAGTCTAGTCTTAGGAGTAAATTTCATAAAGCACACAGATTTCGTAATAGCTAAAGAAGTTTATATTTCACATCACTGTACATACTTTGCTATAATATTTAATAAGGCCCACCACATCCATCACTTCTTGTTGATATGAGGTGGTCAGTGTAATTGACATGCAGGACCCACTAGTCAGCCGCCAAATGTTGTATTATCTGGTGAAATATCAGTCTTCTGTCAGTTTTGATAAAATAAATGTACTTTTTGAAATGAGTCAAAACAACAACAAAAACTACAAAATGTTGTGTTTAATATATGTATAATTCCAAATTGAATTATTACCAAATTAAAACTTGGGGACCTGTATGTGTACTGCAAGTTGACAGTACGTAAGGTGCTGTCGTGTAATGTTAGTGCAAATTCAATATCTTCAAACTTACATATTTTTTTAATATATATTATGAAGCTACACATTCCACAAATCCACAAGTTTTTTTGCTTCTAAACAGGCAGGCCCTACATTTTCAGTTGCACTAGAGTTTGGTCCCACATGTCCAGACTATTTCATTTAACAGGATTCAACAGATGTGTGGTTTATCAAAATGTTAAAATTATGTATAGTTCTGTGAAATGCAAACTAAAATGTGTAACTTTCTGATAGTTGTACTAAAACATATGTAGCTCATGAAATTTACCTTTGTTCATTTATACTTATTTTTTTATCCAGAATTCAATGGCATAAGTAGGCGACCCCTCTTGGGCAGTGAGACTTAAGTTTTATCCCTTGATATTTTTTCCCAGACATTGTACTCTTTGTCCATGTTTATGGTTTCACAGGAGATAGTTAGTGGGTTACTAACTTCTGCTAGCATATTTTATGTATTTGGCAACAATATCATATGATGCTTCTGTTTCTTGTATCTTGTAGAAATGTGGACTAAGGAAGCTGATATATCTGGTTGAAGGTGATCCAAACCCTTTAGGCGCATCAGAGAGCATCAAAACAGCGTATGTATACTGCTCATGTAACCTTGGTGATCAAATTATCCCTGCATAGACTTTTTTTGTATGAAACTTTTAATGCTCTCCTCCTTGATAATAATCCATCTAGTGGTCAGTTAATAAATTTGATACCTGGGGTAATCAGGTGTATACCCTTTAAACTGTTCCGTGTCTTTAAATTTCAGCTGCTTCACCACTGAGATTCTTGAAGGATTTGATGTTCAGAGAACCACTGGATATTCTGATACTGAAAGCACATACGGCCACCTGACACTCTCAATAATTGATTACTACAGCACAAATTTCTCAATCGGTGCTAACACTTGTCGAGTTTGCTTAACTTATGACGAGTTTGTGAAGAAGTGTTGTGACCCCAAGAAGTTAACTGTGAGCGACATATTCGCCCTACAACTTATGCAGGTATCCAGTCAACCTTCACCAAATAAATACTGCTAATTCATTTGGTGGCCTGATTTGGTGCAAGATTTATTCCATCATTTTCTCGGCAATTAATGCAGGTACCACAGGTGACAGAAGAAACTGCAATTGCAGTTATAGAGCTCTACCCGACTCTTGTCTCACTTGCTCGCGCGTACTCCATGCTTGTGAGTAGTCCTCCTTTCCCCTTTAAATTTAAGTCTCTTACGATGTTCATCATGGTTAGCTAGCTGTATTTTTCTAAATTAATACTTGCAACACTTTGTTGAACTCAGCATTCAGAATGCCCAGTCAAAGTGGAAGGGTACTAATATTGCTTCTAGTGCTGCTAGATGGTTTATAACATGGTGTTTCAACTAAAACTTGTTCCTGTAATGTTTATAAGGATGGCGATACCCCTGCCCAAGAGAAGATGCTGAACATGAAGAGCAAGATGGTGAACGCAGGGGCTAGCAGAAATATCTTCAAGCTTGTCTGGGGTGAAGGGTGAAATATTACTGACCTAGTTACCTAAATGGGTTCCTTCCTGACTTGACTTGGTTCAACCGGCCTTTTGTCACCATCTCGATGATTTTGGCGCCACTTCTTGTGATGAAGCTCCATTGTTCCTGGAGATGTCGTCGCATAACTTGCATGTTCCGAAGGCAAATTAAGATGCTTCTTTCTGCGTGCCTTGGGGCGCTGGAAGTTTCATCACCTAAACCTCCCGATCAGGGGGGTTACCTCCGTGTTGTAGACCTGCATGCCTTGCAATGAGCTGGCTATGTGTTTCATATGTACTACTTACTAGTTATGTACTAAGTATTAAGTGTCTTGTGCTATGCATTGTCTTGTGTCATTTAAAACTCGTTTGAATGGAAGCCCCCGAGATGATGAGAACATTTGAATCTGGGATCGTCCCGTGTGTCTTGTGCATTTCAACGGAAGACCAAGAAGAACGACTCAGTGTGCTGTTTGTATAATAATAAGAAACATTGTTGTTGCTTTGAGTTGGAAACATATTCCCGTTTACATTATTGTCGGGTATAAAGATCATGCACAAAGGCTGGATACCTCGCCAAAGCTCTTGTTGATGCTTATCTATAGGGAGACAATAAATTAACCAAAATGTTAAAAAATCTGACGTGCTTGTTGAAGGAAATTGCCATCCTCACGACAGTATAAACTATCATCCTGGTTCTTTGATTTGCCATGGCAAAAAAATTGACGTCGATTTATATTGTGGTCCTTAATTAAACAGCCTGCATCCGCTCCTTGATCCCCCTTCTCACCTCCGATCCCACCAACTGTGTTGGAAGAGTACTTGATCCTCTATCCTAAAAGTTTAAAACATATTTTTATTATATTTCCTTGTATTTTTTATGGATTAAACTTTTTCTTCATCTAGTAGATCCCCTGAAACTTAATCACTCAAAAAAATTGAACACAATATTTTTGTACACAAACTCATTTGGGACACATTTAAACTAGCTCACTGCATAAGTCAATTTAGGTATCACATTAACATCATGCATAGCATAACTAAAATAGTCCATTGCCTACTGCATCTACATCGAACTATGTTAAGCATTGCGATAAAAACGCCCACGTGTCATGTGGGTATCCATTGGATATCCAGCAGAAATTATAACTATGTCCAACCCAGCTGTCCGTGGGTATTCAGATCCACGGATCCATGAGCAGAAATGCGCTCCATACCCTTGCCCAACCGGGTCAGGTATTCATGGGTATTCGGATCCATGGACAAAATCACCATCAATAATAAAGCATATAGAAACTACATACTAGATAGCCCTACTCGGCGTCGCTTAAACTAAAATATCATCGGTGCAATGACCCCACAAGAAGAACAATTATTGTTGATGTAGGGAGTATGAACCGAATTATTACAACAGCTAGCAGTGGAGGAAGAAGCTTCTTAAATTTCCTTCTCAGGGTTTGCATCTTGTTGATTTCTGCTTGCATCTTGTTGATTTGGACTTGTCTCTTGCATGCATCTATAGTACTAGTCTAGCATTTGATTTACATAAAACTTTACAAGATCGACCCATATCCATGTGTTAAGAAGTGAATCCTCTATGTGTATGTGTAAATTTTTTTAGCAACGAGGCGTATACCATTGCAAAAATAAAGGGTTTGTGTTATACCCAGCTTCTGTGGCCTCCACAAACGAAGTAGTCTCGATTGGGATTCCTAGGTGGGCGCGAGTTTTTTTAACAATGGGGCACTTGCAGTCGCAAATGAGCACGCATGCTCGTCAGATTTGGGGCAGCATCGCCACTGGCGCTGCATGATTTACCGTCAGATCCAACAAAGGCATTGCTGCAGCGTGATGATTTACCGGAGTACAAAAGCCAGGGTGGGGAGCTCATGGACGAGCCGAAATAGAGCGGTGGGGAGCTTTGGCGGTGAAGAAGGACCATTTCGACGTCTTTCGACAAATGTGGGCTCGCGCGTGGGGCTCTTTTTGCTTCCCCAACCTCATGCGGGTCAGTTTTCGGTCACGTCGGGGCTCGCCAACGACGAATTGAACATTTTGCAATGACATTGATGAATCTGACTGAATGAGGGTATCATGGTTGAGGGTAGGCGCCACGGGCAGCGGGGTGGGCCATGGGTCGACCAACGCTGAGATAGGCTACAACGACAATGGTTGTGGGCTGCATGGTCGTCTTCCTACTTATCGTGAGAGTTGTCTTTCTTGGACTAAATATAGTCTAAAGGGTGGTTTTTTAATGGATGCAAACTTATAATTTTAAGGAGCTAGACGTCTATGAGGTTTGCTAGCTAGAGGTTGATTCCCTAAATGTTTTTTAGTAAAGACAACAAAAAATATCATAGATCTGCTTTATAAGTAAAATAAAAGCCAGTCTAATGAACTGATAATTGGACTGGTAAAAGGTAAAAGTACACAGAAAATTATACTAGCCTTCTTCTCTCTCAATTGCACGCAACCTGATGAAAACTAAAAGTTGCATTGAATCACCAACAAAGGAAAGTGAAGCCTGCAAATACACTCGTCATGCTAGACTTTAAAGACCACAATAGCCACTCGTCCCTTGAGATGAAATTTAGAAAATCACTGAAGCAACATTGGTTGGAGTATCATCCCTCCACCAATTCTCAGGGTTGGAGAGATCAAACTATAACGTAGAACAACACATAATATGTCAAAGTCACCGCATTAATAGCTAGCGAAGAGCTTTCCTTGAAAGACACACCAACTGCCACGATCTGAAGGGAACAACCATATATGAGGACACAAACTCTACTAGGCCTGTTCATCGACGTTGGATCAGACGTCATCGAAGACCTTATTCCAATATGACATCGCCGCCATCACCTCGTTGATGTCGAAAACAACAACAACTTCCCCTCCCCCTCAAAGCATAGGTTAACCTTTTATGGCGTGTCCATCCGGCCAAGATACAATGGAAGATTGGTGGACGATGTCTCGAAAGCTGGTGCCAGAGACTCACCGGAAGGACTATGACTCTTTGGTGGTGCCCATCTGCTGGTGCTTGTGGAAGCAAGGGAATGGTAGAGTTTTTGGTAGGAATGACAATTGTAACGAGCTCGACACTGTCTAGCTTATATTTAGGGAGCGCCAGCTGTGGGCGATGGCGCGTAGGAGTGGAGCTTTACATTTTTGTGAGTAGTCCCTTACATATCTAGGAAGAGATCGGGTGTAGGCACATTCAGGTGCTTCCTGCCGTCTGTAAACTCTTGTAAATATTTTTCACCCTTCTATAAAGCTAAGGTACGCCTTTGGCGTACTCTCGAAAAAAAACTTTTATGGCGTGTTTGGTAAACATTTTGGTAGGGGTAAGAAAGTTTGCACAAGGTGTTTATGGAGGGATTTTTTTAGCATCAGTACAAATACAAGCGCTCATATACACGCGCATACATTCATCCTTATGAACGCACGCACGCACACCCTACCCCTATGAGTACCTCTGAGAGACCGAGCCGGCATATCATCTTGAGATTTACGAAGTCACCGTAGACGCCTTGTCATCGACAGGAACATCTCCTCCCACTGAAAGCACATCGCCGAAAATCCTGAAATAAATCCAGAAATAATGCGAGCACCAGGATTTGAATCCTGATGGGTTGGGGATATTACTATCCATCTAACTATTTTAATCACAGGTTGGTTCGCGTGTTTATGGAGGGATTAGGCGTGCCTTCAGAGTTGAGAGGCTCAATTGACTTGACCGGACTCGAACTCGACCAACCGCCGCGTCGAGCAGCGACTGCTCCCCATTCCGATTTGAGTCGGCTCCCATGGCGGCTCCACTGCCTCGCGCCCCCGTCTCCTCGCCCGCGACCCGCGCCGCCCTATGGCCAGCCCGCTCCAACCCTTGCACGGCCGCGCCGCCATCCTCGGGGGCCCTCGGGTGGCGGCTCAGGCAGGCTTGCCCGGTGCTCTCCATGGCTCCGCGCTCCGCCCGGTCGACGCCAGCAGCCCTCGCCGTCGATCCCAAGGTCTGTTGATTGGTTTCCCCGTGAAATCTGCTGCCCTCCTTCTTCTCACTTGGGAGGCCTTCCAAGTTAGGAACTGGGGTGGACTGGTGTGCTCCTCTGCTTTGAACATTTATCTTAGGCTTTGGCTTTGGTGGCTTATGCGAAACTTGCACAATATAGTGACATCATGAAAGTAATGGTTTATGGTTTGCCTGATGGAGATCACAAGTATGTTGATATGCACTAGCAAGCATTAAGCCAGTGGGAGGAATTCATTCATCAATTACTTTTTCATGGGATTTGGTTGCAATGCAAATCAATTCTGCGGGAATATAATCAAATGGTCCTGTTATGCCACCACATTAGTACAAATAAAACTACTTAGCAGTCCTTGCTTTCTCAGATGCATTGCCACTGTTAGCAGCTTGTAGTGTACACGGAAAGAGAACCTTTGTTTGCGATAGTATTGCCCTTAGAGAAATAGAAAAAAGCACAGCAAATATTTAACATCGGCTTGTCATCGTCGTCTGAAAATTTTAGGTTGAAGCGTTACTAGACAGTGTGAAGTGGGACGTCAAAGGGCTGGCAGTTGCTATTGCGCAAAATGTGGATACTGGAGCCATTCTTATGCAGGGATTTGCTAACAAAGAGGCCCTTGCAGCAACTATATCAACCAGAAAAGCTACATTCTATAGCCGTTCACGGTCTTCATTGTGGACTAAAGGGGAGACATCCATGAACTTCATCAATGTGCATGACATATTCTTAGACTGTGACCGTGATTCAGTAAGCATCTTCTGCTTTCTGTTATGCATCAAAACAGTCAGTCTGGCTTCAGTTGATACTAACTGGGGTATTTGTGTTTTCTTGAAAGTTAGATAATATATCTTGGTACGCCAGATGGACCTACATGCCATACAGGGGCAGAGACCTGCTACTATTCTTCAGTCTATGATGCACTACAAGGTTCAAAGGTATTTATCTTCAATGAACCTTCCTATGAATATAAATTTACTTGAAATT